CCAACTGCATTATCTCGTTATTATTTAAAAAAAAACTTTTTATTGATAGTCAGTAGAGTTACTTTTCAAAAAGTCTACGTCTTATGTTCCAAATGTAGTATTTCGTCAGTTTCTTTAAAAAGTCGAGACTCGATTTGTCCGTTTGTAGAGTCTCTTTTCAGAACTGACTTTGTCTTACATTTTAAATTCTTGAGCTATTACGTAATTATTTTAAGCAAGTTAAGATTCCTTTGCTCGTCAGTAAAGTCCCTTTTCGGAACTGATTTTGTCTCATATTTTAAATTCTTAAGCTATTACGTAATTATTTTAAGCAAATTAAGATTTCTTTGCTCGTCAGTAGAGTCCCTTTTTAACGAATCAATGTATCATGTTCAATTATAGTATTTTATCAGTTGGTCGTTGGCAAGACAATACTCACTTTGCTCGTCAGTTGAGTTCCTTTTATTACACACATTTAGTGCCCATTAGTTATAGAAAACCTAACCCAGAAACTGCACAAATGTCAGATAAAAAACAATCTTAGATAACAGGGTCTTTCTGACCCAGCTTCATAACATACGAGAGACGTTGCCTGAATGTACGGCAAATACATGACATTTTGACAGTATTCAGTATGATTCGGTGGCATAATGTATGGAAGTCGGAGCGTAACATGGCCTTGCCATAACATTGGTCTGTTGTACGGCAAAATCGGTCTCCCTTAGATTCAAATATTTTTTCTAAATTCTGAGTTTTTAATTTATGAGTAAGTTGCTGACCAGAGTCTCACCACTACTGGTGTGTTCTTTCTCCGGGGTGTATGTTCTATGTGTATTCTTCTATTTGTGTGCATGTGCAGAAGACATAAGACTTAAGACATCAGGACCTGGTTATTTATGATATTGGCGGGTTTGTAAATTAGTGCTGCTATGCACACATGGAGTTATGTGTCTTCGGTGCTGATGCCGAGACTAGGGACTGGCAGAGATGGAATGGCATGCAGACGGAACGGGACTTTTCTGATTTCCAGGGAACCAAATCAGGACATTGAGGAAAAAAAAATTTGTTTCGATTTTTTAGGTCCACTTTATTTTGCCCATTCACCTCCAAATAGTTTTGGACGTCTTTTCTTAGAATCCATGTCTCTGATCCGTACAGAGCTATGCTCCAGACTATGTCCTGACATAAAATGTTAGTTGTAAAGTTTAACTGTACTTTTTGGTTCTAGTACAAAATTTTATTAGATTTTTGTGGCTGGCCCACAAATCCATAGTACAATTTTTTTACCCTGGGAAACTGTAGTAAGTGAACTTAAACGTCAACTGCATTTTTCATCACGTGACCAATTTATAATAAGACGAAGGTAATAGGACAGAAGGACAAAATGATGGATAAAGAGATCTGGATACTTTACTCCATATTATTTTTTACTTTCCTTATGTTTGTGATAGAAAATCCGGTTTGCTAATCGTATTGTTAACTTCCCGTAGGGTAGTTATAGTAATGGGCCGAAAATCGAAAATGAAAATTTTAATATATATTTACGTTTCAGAGGTTTCTGAACATTTTGGCATACCTCAGAAACTAAATGGATGTGTGTGTGTATGTGTGTTTGTGTGTATGTTCGCATTTTTTCGTCCACGTTTTCGGGCGCATGGATCAACCGATTTGAATGGTTCAAAAAACATTCAATTCCCATTGATAGGGAGATGTGCTGATTAGTTTTTGGCAAAGGCAGGTCCAGCCGTTACGAAGATACGTAGCAAAGAGTGCAGAAAAACAAATCGAGTTTTTGAAAGAACGGAGTATCGGATTTGTATGATCTAAAAAACATTCAATTTGTAATGATTGGGAGAAGAGGTGGTTAGTTTTTGGCAAAGACAGGTGCCGCTATTTCGGAGATACAGAGCTAAATGTGCAAAAAATGGCAGTTTTTGAGTGAACTAAGCGTCCGATTTGAATGATCTAAAAAACTTTTCGCTTGTATTGACAAAACAATTGCTTTTGAGGATGAAAAATTCTAACATCTTTTTTTATTTTCCATAAAATATTTTTGTTTTTTTTTTGGATTAAAAATTCAAAAAATCACCCAGGATAAGCACAGTCTAAGCGCCACTCTGGTACAAATGTTTACCCAAGTGCGTTTAGACTGTTTATGCACTGGAGCACTTTTCCAATTTTGTGAGAAAAAAACTATTGAAAAATGTGAAAATGCCGCCAAGCTAAGCACAGTACAAGTGAAAATGTCGCACAGAATTATTTGCAAATGCGTTTAGACTGTGACTATTCGGGAGCACTTTTTCAATTTTGTGTAAATTAGACAATTTTTTTTTAAATTAAATTCGAAATTAAATGACGATTGTTAATGTTTCAGGAGATGAATTGATTTGTTTATGATTTACATTTGATTTCAGCTCAGATATGACAAGATAGCAAAAATAATGAATGTTACAGTATTTGTAATAATATATTTGAAAACGTTTAAAATTTCTCGAATATTTTATTACGGGTACGGGAAGTTCCAGCAATTTGCCTTAAGGCACGATGCCATACGCCACTAGTTTATTTTTATTTCAAATGTAAGTACCCATCATGCGTATTATGCGTATGAATTACGAGCAAATGCACGTGTGTGCATATGTATATACACCTATATATATATAGATATGTATATATTAATTGAAGAGGTATGTATGTATGTATGTATGTACTTATGTATGACTATGTATGTATGTATGACTATGTATGTATGTATGACCTCCTCCTCCGCAACCGAAGAGAAGCAACCGAAGACTAAATACCGACGGTCGGTCGAATCGGCTTCGACTGTCAGTTGCGATTCGACGGCCACGCCGATACGACCGTCTAATAAAAGGATTCATAATAATTGATAGATAAAATAAATAAAGTCGATTGTGATAAAGTGAATGAAAAAAATATTGTAGACTAAAATCACTTAATTATGTTGTTAGTAGTAAGATAAGGATAATAGTAGGGGTGCAAAGCAATTGGGTACGTTTAGGTTCGAAGCACATTATTTTACTGATATCATAGATAAACAAGTATAAAAGTGACTGATATAAATATAAAGCTTATCTAGAACAAGTGCTCAAATGATTAAAATTTTCAATATAGTTTTGTCCAATTTTTTTTAACATTGCTATGCCGATACGAACGTCCGAAGAATTTGTATGAAATCTTTGTATATTAAAATTAAAAATTGAAAAAAAATATTATAGGCCTCTATAGGTTCATAGGATAAAAGTGTATGGGTAAAATATAAGTTCTGTCATCTATTTGAAGCACATTATTTTTACATACGAGATAAAAATAATTCTGAACAAAAGTGCTTGAATAAATAAAATTTTTAACATATTTTTGTCCAATTTTCTTGAACATTTCTAAAATAACCAGAGATTTTTTATATATATATATTTTAATTACAATATTTATTACAACTGTTAAATAATTAACATCTAACAATAATGATAAATAATGACATAAATTTTAATAAAAAAGAGTACAAACGATAGTATTTACATTAAAATAATATCCGTAGTATGAAGATTTAATATAAAATAAAAGCAAATAATAATAAAAATAAAAATAATAAATAATATAAATAAAATTTCTGAATAATAAAATAATACTAGAAAAACAATAAAATATAACAAAATAACAATATTAGAATATTTTTCATAAATCAATTTTATTTTGTTGGTTTTATTATAATTTATTGGTTATTTGTGGAAAAATGTGCAAGCAATGAATAAATATAGATTTTGTAAAAATTAATTTCAAGTGCAAACTAAATTTGACTAAATTATTCACATTAAACGTTCAAAATTAATAAATTAAATTCAAACATTAAATAATTTAAATATTTATTATCTTCAATGTTTTAATCTCTATTGACTTTTTAAAAATTGATCAGTTACAAGTTTTTTTTAAATCAATTTGTAAAATGATAGTATTAAAAAATTATTTTAATCTTATAATAAATAATGTTACAAATTCGTTAAGTTACCGAAAATTTTGCCAAAAATTTCATTCAATCATTCTGAGTAAAACGTAATTATATTAAAAAAATTATAACATTGCCAAAAGTTTTATGAAAAATTTGATTTTTCTTAATTTCTAGAAACATTTTTCATATATTTCTATATAATAATTTTTTATACGATTATTACTTAGTCTAAATTATTTATATTGAATATTTAAAATTAATTATATTATAAATTAATTAAAATATTTAATTTTAATGTTTTAATCCAGAAATTAATCAATAACAGTTGTTTATATTTTTATATAACACAATTTTTGTTTTAATCAATTTAACTTTTATTTGAGTACTAAAATATTATTTTGATTATTTATTAAATAATATTAAAAACTTATTGAGTTACTGAAAATTTTGTCACAGATTTCTTCTAAAGGAAAAATTTGTAATTATATTTAGTTAAACGTGATTATATTGAAAAATTATCACAGATTTGTTTTTTCATAATTTCTAGAAAGTTTTTCATACTTTACTAATATTATAATTTATTATACGATTATTAAAAATGTTTGTAATAACATCTAAAACGTTTGTGTATTTTCCAAATTTTGTAAAAATACATAATTTTGTTCTTTTCTAAATCAATAATAACAAAATTGTAATAACTAAACATAAATTTTCGATTAGGTATTCAAAAAGCAAATTTGCGTGCAATTTGTTGCATTCTTAAAATTCGTGTTTTTTTTTTAAAAGAAAAATTGCAGATGATTTTAATTTATTTATAAACAACTATTACTCGTGAAATTCATGTTTGAATAATAAATTTTCCTTTATCATTGTTTTTAAATTAATAAAATTTGTATTATATTTCTATTTAGGTTAGGTCACATGTGATATTTTTTAAAAAAAACTTCAGCTATTTTTTGAAGGTTTCATGTAATTAATTTATAAAAAGTGATAAATATATATAATATGTTAATTATAAACAATTAAATTAACATTATTTCATATTATTAATTTTAGTGTGCAGTGTTATAAAACAGTTTTTAAAATGTTTCAATGTGTCAAAAGTGACAGCTGTCAAAGGACAACATAACCTAGAAGAGACACGTGGACTCGATTTTTAAAAGTATGTTTAATGAATAATTTATTTATTTGTATATATATATATATATATATATATATTTGTGTGTGTGTGTGTAATATCTTTCATTTGTATGTTTTTTTTAATTTTATTGACGTTTCGGTGATGTGGTTAGTTCCATCAACAGGAATGGTTATTAGTTCAAACTTTGCCTTAAAAAAATCCTTTCAAACTCAAAAATATTTTGAAATGATACAGCATAATTCAAAATTTTCGTAGAACTCTTTTTAAAATATTTTTGAAAACATTTTGGAAAACTGAATAAAAATCAGATAATCATTACAAACAAAGCAAGGAAGAATGTTATGATAACTGCATCATTCTGAAATCTTTAAACAATTTGAACATTTTTAGTCTTTACTAGTCTAGCAATAGTGTTGCCAGATATTGTTATTGTCATTAGGCAATCTTTAGTATTGGTGACATCAAAAACTAAAAACTATTACATATATCAATAATAGAATCTATCAAACTGAAATAAAATGGAACACACAGAATTGAACATTTAACATTATCAAACACTAATTTAAAATTAATAAACCTAAAACGAGTTTGATCACAAGTAGTGTTGCCAAATTTTATAAATCCATCAGACAACTCTAGTATTACCTGATGGCACACAAAAACAAATTATTAATAAATCTTTTCATCAATCTTTTACATTTCTTCACGCACAATAAATTAAAAACTTTCATTGACACACGCGCCTTGCGATTTGACACAAATTCTCGTCTCTGATAATAAAATAATAATAATAATAATAATACGAAATGAAAAAAAAAAACATGTAAATAACATTTTGCCTTTCACGTTGATTCCCACACATAACTATTTATTTATTTATTTATTAATAATTATATTTCGAATGCAAAAACAGTATAGGAACGCGGACGTGTGATTATTAGAAATTTCAGTCGAGAGTTATTTTCTTTTGGTCGTAAAATATTAATATTAGATTTGATTTGTGCAATTAATTATTTAATAATATAAATAATTATATATATATATATATATATATATATATATATATATATTTAGGTACTGGATTTTTCAATTTTATATCTTTCTTCTTCAAACAATTATTTCAATTAATTAATAACAATTAGTTTATATATGTTTGATTACGACGTTTCGGAACTAGATATGTTTCATCATCAGGTTTTTTGTCAAAAATAATTTTGCATATAGATTACAGAATATCAAGAAAAAATTATTAAAAAAATGGATTAATTATCAAAAGAAAGTAAAGAAAAATGAAAGATTTATAGAAAAGTATTAAAAAAATATGAAAATTTTCATCTTGTATATAATGCATTTCTTTTTTATTATAATTACCTTGTCATATTATAATACTCAATTTTCTGCTATTTTATTCTATTTTATGCCATTTGCTTCGGTTACGTTCTATTTTATTCCTTTTTCTGCCATTTTATTCTTTTATCATTATTTTGTACTATTTTATTAAAATTATCGTGTTACAATATAATATTATATTTTCTGCTATTTTATGTCATTTTATTCTTTTATCATTATTTTGCGGTATTTTATTAAAATTACCTTGCTATAATATTTTGCCACATTGTTATATTTTATTCCATTTTCTGCCATTTTATTCTTTTTATGTTATTTTGTACTATTTTATTAAAATTACCGTTATTATTCATTAATATGAAAATTCTGCTATTTTATGCCATTTTATTCGGTCATGTTCTATTTTATGCCATTTTTTGCCATTTTATTCTTTTTATATAATTTTAAACTTTTTTATTTAAATTTACAAATAGGGATGTATATAATATTATAATATACTAGAAAATGAAATATAATACAATAATAACAAAAAGAATAAAATGGCAGAAACGGAATGAAATAGAATATAACCAAACAAATTGATGTAAAATAGATTAAAATAGAAGAAAATAGAATATTATAATATAACAAGGTAATTTTAATAAAATAGTTTAAAATAACATTTAAAAAAAGGCAGAAAATCGAATAAAGTTGAAAAATTTGGAATAAAATGGCATAAAATAGAATAAAACAGCAGAAAATTGAGTATTATAATATAACAAGGTAATTTTAATAACATAGTACAAAATGACATAAAAAGAATAAAATGGCAGAAAATTGAATAAAGATAAAAAACTGAAGGTATAAAATTTAATAAAACAAAACCTAGCAAAATGGCATGAAATAGAACAAAAAAGTAGAAAATAAACTATACTGAAATAAATATAAATTAGAGTAAAATATAAAATGTTAAATTCAATGGAAAAGAACAAAATGGCATAAAAGGAAATAAAATAGAACCTAACAGAAAAAATGGCATAAAATAAATTAAAATAGTCGAAAATAGAATATGATAATATATCAAGGTAATTTTAATAAAATAGTTTAAAATAACATAAAAATGGCAGAAAATGGAATAAAGTTGGAAAATTTGGAATAAAATGGCATATAATAGAACACAACCGAAGAAAATGGCCTATAATACCAGAAAATGAAATATTATAATATAACAACGTAATTTTAATAAAATAGAAAATAATGACATAAAAAATTGCAGAAAATGGAATAAAGTTGGAGAGTTTGGAATAAAATAGCATAATATTGAATAAAACAGAACGTAACTTAGCAAAATGGCATAAAATAGAATAAAATAGTAGAAAATAAACTATAATAAAATAAATATAAATCAGAATAAAATATGAAATGTTAAATTCAATGGAAAAGAATAAAATGGCATAAAAAGAATATTAAGAATATAAAAAATGGCAGAAAATGACTAAAATAGAATAAAATGGCAGAAAATAAAATAGAATGGAATTAAATTGAGAAATTAAAAATAAAATTGAACAAATTGAAATACCATTTTGATCTTTATCGAAATTATATGAAATTAAACATATTGAAATAAGATATAATAAAATAAAATAGTATAGAATAAAATAATATTAAACAAATTGGAATAAAATGAAAAAAATAGAACAAAATTGATTTAAATTTAAATCTTTTAAAATTATTATTAAATCAAATAATCAAATTTATTTCATTTTAAATAATCAAAATCTTTATTATAAAATTAAAAGTAATTTCGTTCTCGGTTTTTAACTTCCCGAAGGAGAAGTTTATGTTTTCATCAAAAAATCCGATTCGCTAATTTTATGTTTTCTCGACGTTTCAAGCCATTCTGAATCGAATGAGATCAAATTTGGAAAAAGTATGTGTGTGTGGGTGTGTGTGTGTGTGTGTGTGTGTGTGTGTGTGTGAACAGATTTTTTGCCGTAAATCGACGTTTTCTCGAAAACGGCTGGGTCGATTTCAAAAATTTAAAAGCCTTTCGATGTATCTCGACGAGGACTATTGTTTGTCAGGTTTGTGCGACGATCGGCCAAGCCGTTTCTTTATAAATGGCAGAAAAGTGAAAAATTTTTCGTCTACGTTTTAGCCCGCAATTCTGAATCGATTTTGAAAATTCAAAAACGTCGAAAGATATTGGTTGGGAATCGTGCTGATTAGTTTTTGGTAGAGATCGGCCGGGCCGTTTTCTTGTCATAAAGTTTTTTAAAAAAAAAATTTCGACGATTTTTATGATTATTTTTTTGACGATAGATACCATAGTCTTCTAGATCATACTAAAATATTACAGCCCTACGATAACTGGTTCAGCTTTAAAAATTCGTCAAAGTTTGCAAAAATCAGTATGGTCTTTTTGGCATTTGTCAAAATTAGACTTTTGATCGACGTTTTCTCAAGAACGCCTGAACCGATTTTAGAAATTTAAAAGCCATTTGATGTATTTCGATGAGGACTATCGTTTGTCAGTTTTGTGCAACGATCTGCCAAGCCGTTTCTTTGTAATTTGCAAAAAACTTTTCGTCGACATTTAAGCTCATCCTACCGAACCGATTTTAAAAAATCAAAAACTGTTCGAAAGATATTAATTGGGAATGATGCTGATTAATTTTAGGTGAAAATCTACCGAGCCGTTTTCTTGTAATTAACTGTTGAAAAAAAATTTAAGCCGATTTTCATGGCACTTTTTTTGGCGATATACATCATGGTCTTATAGAACTTACTGTAATATTATGGCCTTACGACAAGTAGTTTAATTTTACAAATTCGTCAAAGTTTGCTAAAATTATTATCGTTTTTTTCAAAGTAGGATTGATAAAGTATATTATTTACATATTTTTTTATTAAGTCGATTATTTACACATATCGGGAAGTTCATGTAACTTGCCTCAAGGCTAAATACCAAACCAACTAGTTTATATATATTTTGTAGATAAATTTTAAAACTTCAAAATAAAAAATAAGAGTTATCTTAACACTTTAAGATAAATAATACACTTTCAATTTAATCTAATCTAATTTAAATTATTACTGTTTTTATTTTGAACACTTTGATGATAATTATTGAGATAAGGGTTTTAGGGACGATTAGTTGCGGTTGGTTTTGTATGGGAACATTTTTTATAACCGAAGGATATTAGATAAAAATTATATATATATAATATATATATATATATATATATATAATAATTTTTAAAACATTTTTTATTAGTGAAGACTAATAATAACACTCAAAAGTTGAAAATTTCAGTTAGAAATGCAATAATTTTAATAAACCATAATAATTTTGATAAACTGAGTATCATTAATTATGAAAACCTAAAACTCATATATAGTTTTTGTCATGCAATTTTGTACATTATTTCATTACAAAATATTAAATATTTAAAAGATTTCTAGAAAAAAATGGCAAAAACATATAATATTCTAAGTTTGTTTGATATTTCATCAATCATAATTAAGCATAGATTTATTTCTAAAATTTATTAAATTCATTAATTTCTAAAATATTCATTAATGATGCAATTTTTTCTTCATTTTGGAAATTGTTTTTAATTAATAAAATAAAAATAAAATTAATATTTTTTGTGTTATAATTCTGCGTGAATTTGATAAATCATTTTTTTTAA